AGGCTGACACTCTATCCACCTAGCCAAACCTGCTAGGGCGAGTTTCTCTACTTTAGAATATGTTTGAAACTCTGTGACAGACTACAGCACTAAAAATAACCAAATTTACCTAAAGAAAATCAATGAGTAATCATTTAAATCAAAACATTGAGTAACTAATGGAACAAGCAGTACTCAAATAGGGCAAACATTATTAAGGCAACACGTGACTCACTATCGATGAGAAAAACACTTCTCTGGTGAAAAATGAAACTCTGGGACCAGGAGTTGGAGCACTGGGGAATGGCCTGTCCAATTTAGGTAAAACCTTCAACTTCTACACTGTCACTTCCCCAGGAAGCTTTCCCACTGCCCATGCCCTTAGGGCTGCACCAGGGGCTTGCTCTGGGCTCCCAGGGGCCTCCAGCAGGATTCTCACTGTGCTGCAACCAGAGCACTCAGTGGTCGCCCCTCCATTGACAGAAAGTGTCACAAATGCTCCTAACTGGAATGAGGTAAAGGGAAAAGACCCCAAAAAGGCATCTCACTCAAAGGCCCCACGGGCTGCTTGCCTGTCTCTGGAGACCTTGGGCTCTGTCTTAGCCTAAGCCTCACAGAGCTGGACACTTACCCGGTCAGCGTCCCGAGGGCCCCCATGAGATGTTCCATCAGGGTTAAAGTGGTCTCCACAGCTGAGAAGAAAAGGTAGCAGGTAGGCAGTGAAACAGCAGCTCACAGGCCCGACGATCCATCCTCTTACTTTAACTACATTTGTTTCTGTCTTTCCTTCATTCATTCATGCATGCATACATTCATTCAACAAACAGGCTCATTCTATGCCAGGCTTTGGGTTGAGGGTACTAAGAAGAATCGAACATTGGTCCTGCCCTCAATAAGCTTCTAAGGGAGACACAAATAAGTAAACTACTAATAGGATGATAAACACCATGACACAGGGAGTCATCGTGTCCAGGAGTCACCTTCTATCTTAGAGGCAGTAAGGTGGCTATGAGCAGGACCATCAAAGTCAGGTTTTGGTTCAAATCCCCACTCTACTATTTACATGCTCTGGGGCCTTTGACAAATCATTTAACCTCTTTGATCCTCAGTTTCCTTATCTGTAGAATGGGCCTGTGTGTATATGCTTCACAGAGTACTTATGAGGACCAAGTATGAAAGTGCGTGTAAAGGGCTGAATATAGTCCCCTGCACATAGTGAGTACACAGCTGGGAGTATGAGGATGCCGCAAGGGAGGTTACAGACAACTTACCTGTTGCAGTTCCTTGTGAGGTCCCCGAACTGATGGACATGGAGTCCGTGTGGCCCAGGCTCCAGGCCATCAATGGTTCCCTCAATGAGGCAGCGCTCAGGGGTCAGCTGTAGGAAGCGCACCACCCCCTGCACAGGGCCAGGGCCCCCTAGAATGGCCACTGCTGCCCCCAGATTCTCTGCAAGGTATTAGACACCTGGGTTGGTTTGCCACCTCACCCAGACCCACCTCTTCATCAGCTGGGGAAGGGCCTGGAGAGAGCCCCACATAACTTTCACACCTTCTCCAAAGTCTCTCCAACCCAAAGTCACAAAATCCTATGGTTAGATTTATACCAGTCCCTTGCCACCTCCCTCCCAGAAAGGCAAGGCCAAGACCACAGTAGTTACTCACGCAATAGGCCCGTGCCCATGCCCTTGAGTACCGCCTGCCGCCCCGTTCCTTCTAAGAGGGCCTGCACCTCCTGGCTGGGCAGGGTGGTCTGCACCAGGACCATCTGGTTCTCCAACTGCACCTCTACACTCTGGACACCTGGGAGGAAAGGAGGGGCAGAGGGCAGCAGAGGGCTGGCATCCCTGTGCTGGGAACAGGGAGGAGAGAAGCAGAGGGTGACTCCCATCCCCATCTTCACCAACCTCCCATGGCTGGAGGCAGGCTCGGAAGTTGCCTTCTAGCTGTGTAAGGCCCTTAACCTCTCTAAGGCTGTTTCTTTATAAAGAAAGTGAGGATAATGTCACCAATCCCAGGATTGTTGTGAGTCCTTATTACATGCTGGGCGTTATCTATAACTTTTGAAACATACGTAATTTTTAAAAATATATCTTTGTTGATTTTTTTTACAGAGAGGAAGGGAGAGGGATAGAGAGTCAGAAACATCGATGAGAGAGAAACATCAATCAGCTGCCTCCTGCACACCTCCAACTGGGGATGTGCCCGCAACCAAGGTACATGCCCTTGACTAGAATCGAACCTGGGACCTTTCAGCCCACAGGCCGATGCTCTATCCACTGAGCCAAACCGGCCAGGGCCATACATAATTTTTTAAAAAGTGTTTTTTATAAAATCAGGCTATCAGAGCAGCATTATTCATAATAGCCAAAGGTGAAAACAATCCAAATGCCCATCCACTGATGAATGGATAAAAAATGTGGTATTTCTAGACAGTGGAATCCTGTTCAGCCATATAAAGGAACGAAGCACTATGCATCACAACATGGATGAACCCTGCAAACATTGTAATGAGAAAGCCAGTCATAAAAGGCCACATATTAGATGATACCATTCTGGAGGAAATGTCCAGAATAGGTAAATCTATAAGGACAGGAGGGAGATTAGGGGGTAGGAGCATAGGAAGGCGGTGCTAAAGGGTTCAGTTTCTTCATGAGGTGATGAAATATAATTGATAGCGGTGACGGTTGCACAACTCTGTGAGTATACGAAAAACCACTGGACTGTATACTTTACGTGGTGATTTTGTGATATGTGAAGTACATTTCAATAAAGCTCATACGTACATAAGAAAGGGTTCTAGCACCATCATCATGAGAGCGAACATGGACCGAGCATGCACTGTGGGCTTCTTCGTACTTCACCTATAGTAACTCCTTCCACACTCAAGTAACCCTGTGAGCTGATTACTATTATCCTGTTACAGATGAGGAAACTGAGGCACCGAGAAATTAAGAAACTTGCTCACAGTCACGCTGTAGTACACTGTGGAACTGGAATGCATCCCAGGCAGCCCAGCTCCAGAGCCCGAGCACGTCACCTGGACACTGCTCACCTGACAAGCAGCCGCCAGCCTCCAGCTGGGTTGGGACCCCCTCCTCTGCCCTCCTGTGGCAGCTGCCACTTCCCCCTCGTAACTCACGCTGCACTGACTTCAGTCCTCTGTGAGGGCAGGAGCTGTGTGTGTTCCACGAGGGTCAGGTTCAAGAGTCAGTATGTCTCAATTGCCCCCCAAGAGAGTACACAGCCTGTGGGATAACTCTGACACATGCTGAGTTTTGCAGAGCATCAAGACAGCTCAAAAAAGGAAGAAAGGGGCTTCCCTTTCATTCAGATATTCAGGGCTCCCAAGCCTTTTCAGAGAACCCTTGAATCCTCTAAGTGTTGCTCTCACCTGTAGGGCTTACAATCATGCTCTTGTTCTTTTTTTTTTTTTTTTTTTAAAGGGCCATGCAAATCTTCCCTGTATTATTCCAATTTTAGTATGCGTGCTGCCAAAGCGAAGACCATCATTCTGCTCTGACCTCAGTAAGTGTGTTTGCTGCACTGTAGGGGAAAGCCCAGGGGAGCCATGGGCAGCCCAGAAGACAGGTTAAATGAGGCATTTCATGCCATGCTCAGCTAGCGCCCTGTGAACTGAATGCTACTGACCATTGGCCTTCCCTTTATCTTTGGTTTCCCTCCTCCGTATTCTTTCAACATGGAGGAGGCCAGGGTCAGGCAAAGTACTGATCCTCGTCCTCAGGGAGCTCACAGGCTGTGGGAGAACTCAGACTATGCCTGGGTTAACCATCAGGCAGAGAAGGGAATAACAGCTGTGGTACAGACAAGGTGCCTGCTCAAAGGAGGCAGAACTGAGAAATGCAACCAGGAGGAGGCAGCACGTGAGAGAAGGGAATATTGGGGCTGTGGCTCCAAAAGGTCTCATCGGCTGCTTCTTCAGAGCCCCTGCAGCATCCGTAAGAGATCAGGCAGACACAGACACCTCCTCCCCTGCAAGAACAAGGCAATTCTGGGAGCATTTGAGGCCTTGTTCCTTGGCACATATCATTAGTTTGGCTCAAATAAACTCAGAAAATTTTCTCTAAAAAAGGAACAGGGCAATTCTGTGAAAAGGAAACCCTACAAATAACCAAACTGTCCCTCACTTTTACACACATCAGGATGGTGATACTGTCCTCCTCTGGCAGGTGAGGGAGCAAACGAGGCTAGAAGGTTACACAACTTATTTGAGGCCACAAAGCTTGCCAGGCAGCCTGTCCAAACCCAAAGCTGAGGCTTGGCGCCTTCCCTTGCCTCAAGGAAGTAGGGTCTAAGAGATTTGCCTGCCTCTCCCGGAGGCCTCTGGACGGTTCGCAGAAAATGCACTGGCTCTTACCTGGCACCCCTTGCAGGGACCTGCGCACTGCGTCCACACAGCTCTGACAGGTCATCTGCACGGCGAACTCCAACTGCAAGGAAGGCAGGGACCGGCCGATGAGAGCTGAGAACCCCTCTTGCGTGACCCTGTTTCACTACCTCCCCTACAACCACCCCAGAGGCCTGGGGAAACGCCTGACCCCTCTTCAAGCGCCTTCTTCATTATCACTCAAGATCAATTCAGGACAACCACCCTCCAACATTAAAGCCAAGGTCTCTCCTACTATCGCACTTTGCAATCCAGATCCCCAGGTCCCGCTCCTAGTGCCCGCTTCTTCCTTCCCCTTCTCGAGGTAACGACCACCCCTAGGGGTCGTGGCTCTCTGTCCCGCGAGGCTCCCACATGAGGCGTCGACCCTCACCGTGCAGGCGGTCTCCCGGTCCCCCGAGTCCGACGCCATCTCGGACCCAGTCACTGACAGGAGGACCTTAACAGCTCGAGTCCTACAGCGGAAATCCAAGCAGCATCACGAGGAGGCGGAGCCTCGGAAGCCAGGCTTTGCCCCGCCTCCTGGCGCGTGCGCACGCAAGGCCCGCCCATCTCCAATGTTCCAGGCCGGGGGCGGGGGAGGAGCACTGGCCGCGCAAGCGCACTCTGGCTATGAGGTCCCTGGTTGCCTTAGTAACCGTTTGGACGCCTCTACCTCGACAGCTTACCGCGCCAACGCTAAAATGGAGCCCTTTAAACCTGAACCTGAGCTCCAGCGGTTTTATCACCAGTTGCTGCATCCGCTGTCGATCTTCCCCAGAAGGAAGACGTACGCAGAGCCTCCGAAGCGCCTCCCGCAGGAGGTCCCAATGCTACCGTCCCTACCCGTCTCACGGCTGACCGTGGCATCACTGTGCCTCCAGGTGTCCAAGCGGCTGGCCCGGTGCGAGCTGGAGGAGTCGGTGCCTCCCGCGGGCCCTCTCCGTTTCCGAAAGGTCATCTTGGACGAGTTGAAGTGCAGCTGGCGGGAGCCTCCCCCCGAACCTAGTCTGAGCCACTTCAACAACCAGAGGCTGCGGAAGCGGGTGCTGGTTTACGTGCTGCTCAGCTGCGAGCAGCTCTTCTTACACTACCTGCGCCTGCTGAAGACAATGCCGACTTCCACGCACGTCTTCACTGAATCCGCCACGCTCACCCGGTTGGCCGCCAACCTCGCCAGGGATTGCACAATCTTCCTCACCAGCCCCGAGGTCTACCGTGGCCTGCTCGCCGACTTCCGCTCCCTGATGAGAGTACAGCAGGCCCAGGGCGGTGTATTCAAGCTGCGCCCCTCCGGACCCCCTGCGGCTTCCAAGCCTCCTAGGCCTCACGGAGCCAGCTCTGCCCGAATACCACACTGCAACCTCAACCTGAGCTATCTCATCCAACTCAGCCGCTCGCGAGAGCTTCTCAGCGAGCCCAGACCCGATCCTGTGAAGGAATTAAAGTCCATCCCTCAGCTAAAGAAAAAGACTCTTCGCTGGCTGCCTGCCATGCAAAAGAAGGGAGAAAGCTTCACTTCCTCACAGACTGAGTCATTGCCCCGGTATTCGATGGCTGTCACCAGCATGTCTCCGCGCACCTCCTATTTGCCTTTCTACGCCCAGCTTCATAGGGGCCGGTCCATGCCCTCTCTGCGCGAGGGCTGGAGGCTAGCAGATGAATTGGGCCTTCCTCCCCTCCTCCCTCGTCCCTTGACCCCACTGGTCCTGTTTGCAGAGAGCAAACCAGAGCTGGTAGAGGATATGGTGGCCGAGGACCTGAAGCAGATAAGGAAGAACACGAAATTGGAGCGGACTCGCTACGCACCAATGGACTCAGGTGTGTCCCCGCTCCTGGGGGCCCTGACCCACCACCCAGCCACAGCACATCGCATAGAAGAGCTGCAGAGAATGTTGAATGAGGAAGAAGAAACCTCTGGGCAGTGGGGCCCCCAATTCCCCAAACCCCCTCCACTTCATCCACAGCCAGTGTCAGTTACTTTGAAGCTGAGAGATCAGATCGTGGTCCAGGCAGCTGGTGTACAGGTCTCTAAGAGAAAGTTTTTGGATTCCTTCCACATTGAAGAGACCGGAGCCCTGTACAACCACCTAATTGGTGAACTGGATTCCAAACTGATCGAGGAAATGGATATTGATCGCTTCATTGGTAATAGCATCAGGGAGGTCTATAAGGAGTTGATGAGCCGTGTCTCTATTGACCACTTCTCTTTTGACCAGGGACCCTTGATTGAGCCAGCAGCCAGTAAAGACTGGTCAGTGTTCCTATCCTCAGCCTTTCTGCATCAAGATAAACAGCATCGTGTCATCAACCCCAAGCTGGTTGGTCTTTGTCCCAAGAGAGTAACCACTTTCCAGTCCTCTCTTTCATTGTTCCAAGTAAGCAAAGGTTGGGAGAGACGGCCAAAAAAGACCTCAGGAATGAACTGGTTGAAAAACCTCTTGTGTTCGGATGACTATTTCAAACACCTCACCAACCAGGAGACAGATTTCCTCCATGTCATCTTCCAAATGTATGAGGAGGATGTTCCTGTGGAGATGGTGCCCCCTGTCAAAGAGTCCCTAAAGTTTCAGCACCCACCTCCATTGCTAGAAGATGAAGAGCCAGATTTTGTGCCAGGAGAATGGGATTGGAACACGGTGCTGGGGCACCGTCTAGAAACTAGGAGGGCCAGCCTCCTGGGAGAACCCCACAGAATCCCGAGCCTGCAGAAGCGTCTGCAGCGGTTGTGGTCCATTCTTGAGGTTCCTGACAAGGACCGGATGGACATGGCTATCAAGTACAGCTCCAACGCCCGCCTGAGGCAGCTGCCTTTATTGCTGAGTGCCTGGGAGCAGACCGTGCAGCCCATTCAGCTGCGGGAGATATTGCTGGGGAAACTGGAGTGGTTTGAGCGACACGCCTCTGACCCCAACCGTTTCTTCCAAAAGACTAGCATGGATCTGACTCGTTTATTGGAGGAGAATCAAGTCCGAAACCGCCTACACAGGAAGCTCAATCTAATGGAGGCTCCGTTGGTTTCGCTCCTGGAGGAGGTTGAGGTCATCTTTGGTGAGCCAGTGACGTTCAAGGGGCGGCGCTACCTGGACAAGATGAAGCTTGACAAAGTGGAGATGCTTTATTGGCTGCAGCAGCGGCGCCGGATGCATCAACTGGTTGGGACCCAGAATGCCTCCCACTGGTCAGCCATGTTCAAGAAGCTCAGCACGAAGCCTTTAATAGCCCCTAGGAATACTCCCAGTCCAAGTGACCGCTAATCCCTCCCTCAACCCCCAACACCCAGCAGCTCATCCAGACCTCTTGACCGCTTGGGAAGAAGAAATATTTGGGAGAAGAACATTGTGCTTCCAACTACCAAGGGACTGAGATGAATACTTTATTTTGACAGTGAAATTCTCATAAAAGAATCCCCAAGGCCAGTATCCCCATTTATGTCAAGCTAAGCACTGTACAGCCAAAATCTCATGTATCAAAAGAACTGAGTCCATCACTTGGAGTTCATTGTATTGGAAACCCATCACCTTCGGAATATCTGGGCGTTTCTATCATGCTACATTAAATGGGCTGACAGGGCCCCCAATCAAAAGGCTCTGTTGCCTAATGGTTGCCTTCAGAGCTAGGACTCTGGAGTTAGTAGATGTGGGTTTAAATTCTGGTTGCGTACCTTGGGCAAATTAGCTGCTCTGCACCTGGACCACCATATGTCAGGTGAAGGGTTGAGTCCAGATTGTCACTTCTTCCAGTTTTAGCATAAACTTTTTTATTAAAATTTTATCAGTTCTTACAAGCATACGGTACAAAGTATACAAGGGTATGTACTGAAAAGTAAGTCTCCTTTCCATCCTTACCTCTAGTAACTCAGTTCCCCACCCTGGGGGTTACAACTGTTACCAGTTTCTTGTGTATCTTTCCATTCCCTTATTCAGAAAATAATTATTGAGTACCTACTAGCTATTTTATGCTTGGTTTTAACACTGAACAAAACAAAGATCCTTACCCTTTGCAGTTTACATTCTACTGGAGGGAAATAGCCAATAAGCCATAAACGTAGCTTTAAGCCATAAACCTAAACATATTGAATAATAAGATGTTAGCAGGTGATACGTACTGTGAAAAAAAAAGAAAAAGAGTAGGATAAGAGGGGGGAAAAGGGTGAGGGATGTAGTTTTAATTAGGGTAGTCAGTATAAGTCTCAGTGGGAAGGGAAGATTTGAGCAAAGGGTTGAAGGAGGGGAAGAAGTGAACCCCATTTAGGACAACTTACCTGACAGCCATTGCAAAACTCTAAGGCAGGCAGGTAAGTGGGGTGTCTCAGAAAGCAAGGTGGCCAGTGTAGGTGGAGCAGAGCTGGGGGTGAGATGAGTCAGAGGGGTCATGACAGGGTGCCAAAGGGCAAGTTAGGTCATGTAAGGCCTTATAGGCCATTGTATAGCCTATGCACATATGAGCATATGTGTATATATTATCTATACATATGCTTATAACTAGCATTCTGTACCTCTGCTTTTTAAACTATTTTTATTGATATATTATTTTTTTTAAAAGAGAGAGAGATTGATTTGTTGTTTCACTTATTTATGCATTCATTGGCTGATTCTTGTATGTGCCCTGACTAGGGATTGAACCTTCAGTTTTGGTGTATCAGGTCGATGCTCTAACCAACTGAGCTACTCAGCCAGGGCTGTATCTCTGTTTTGCTCCTTTCTTTTTTCATGTAACATGCCCCAAGCTCATTCCATATCAATATACATTAAGCTGCCTTATTCTTTTTGATATCGATATAGTATTCCACTGTGTGTATTTTTATTTATTTATTTTTGGACATTTACAAACAAAAAAACAATGCTCTAAAAATCCTCATTCATCTATTTAGGATTGCAACTATTTCTATAGTTTAAATTCCTGAAAGTGTAATTATGTCTAAGCATAAGCTTTTATAATTTTGATAGATATTACTGATTACCCTCCACAACTTGCATTATCACCAATATTGTATAACTATACTTCTTTTCCCACTCTCAACAATAGAATGTTATCAAATGTTTAAATCTTTACCATCAGTAGGTGAAAAATGGCATCTTATTTGAGTTGTGTTCTTATTTCTTTTATGAGTGAAGTTGCATATTTCATACATTTAGAGCTATTTTTATTTCCTTTTCGATATAATGCCCATGCCTTCTGCCCACTTTTCAATTGATTTTGACCATTTTGTTTTTTTATTTTTCAGCACTCTTTATATATTCTGGAAATTTAGCTAACATGTTAATAGTTACCTTGTGCAGAACACTTTCCCTGCATGATTTCTTAGACTCCTCATGGCCGCCTATGAAATATGTATTTTAATCGCCATCTTGCAGCTGATGAAATGAAGGCTTGGCTAGGTAAAGTAACTTACCCAGAGTCATAAAGGTAGTTTGTTGGAGAGCCAGGATCCAAGCCCAGGTCTGTGTGAGCCAGAAGCCTACATGTGTCTGATTCTATGAGGTAGGGTGGTAAGAGCTCTTAGACACAGCCTGCCTCACCTGCTGGCATAGGTAATGTAAAAGCCTCAGATCTCCACCACTCACCATTTGCTGGCACATAAACTTCTACTTTGTATAAAAACAGCATTTCTCAACTTTTCCACCCAAGTTTCCTTTTGAATGGAGGAACACAAACAAGCATTTGGGTCAGGTATGAGGGATTGGGGCGTGGAGGAAGTAGAGGGAAGCAGTGCTGACCTGAAAGGCATGAGATGAATTTCTTTAAAGTCTTTCATTTTTGAAAGTAATGCAAAATTTACACCCTACTTCATAATATTTTCATATTTGTTTTAATATAAAAATGATGCTTGAAATTATTTATATTTGAATTAAACTGCCCCTTGGGAAGACATGCTATATTTAGCATTTCTATTCTGGCTTCTCCCCTGGAATACTGCTGCATTCTCCTGAAGTTACACATGACCCAGGTGAGAAACGCTACGGCAGGGTCAGCAGACTTTCTGTGGAGGGTCAAATAGTAAAAGATTTTGGCTTTGTGAGCGACATGGTCTCTGTCACAAGGCTCATTTTTGCTTTTGTCCTGTGAAAGCAATGATAGATAATAGCTTAACGAAATGGACAGGGCTGTGTTCCAAGAAAACTTTCTTTCCAAAATAGGCAGTCTGCCAGACCTGGCCCTCAGGTTGTAGTTTACTAGCCAAAGTGCAACAGCATCAGGCCCTTTAAAACGTGTATCCCCTGAGTCACACCTGCCAGGACTAGAGTAGGTGATCTTTAACATCAGTTTCCCTCACTCTCCAATTATAAGGTAACCCTCCACCCACTCTGTGATTTCTCTAACTCCCTTAGATGCTCTCTTCCCTTCTTCTTCTCCCTCAGCTTGGCATGTCATGCAGGACTATTTCTTTTTCTCATCTGTCTCTCCACTAGACCGTGAGCTCCAGCAGACAGACAGCGCTAGCCTAATGTAACTGCTCATGCCTCTGTTATCCAACTCAGGTGGTTTGCTGCTTGGGGTGCTCTATTCAAGAAGGATATGTGGTTGTTGCAAGGTAGTTTTATTTACTCGCAGCAAGTAAAGAAGAGGGGATTCATACCCAAAGCTCGATCTCCCAGAAGCTTACCATTGCTTACATACACTATTTGGTCAATTACTCATTGATTTCAGTTGGCTACCCTTAATGTCAAGCTCATCCTATTTACAGCTGGCCTGCAAAATACTGTGCCACAGTTTAATATTTAGCAAGAATAGTATTTAGTAAGAATGGCCCAGGCGTTGAGACCCTTGTCCTAACATCTCCTCTTGGTAGGCCCTGAGGAGTACCAAATGGTTGCATGGTTTTGTTTGACCCTCACAATAGCCTGAGGAACTAACTGCCAATCCAGGGAATATTAGCTGCCATTTTGCTGATGAGAGGCCTCAAGGAAGAATCGAACTGTGAATCCAGGCTCTGAGGCCAACTCCCTGGGTTCAAGTCCTGCTCCATCACTTAGCTGATCTTTGGTAAACCGTTTAATCTCTCTGAGCCTCTAGTTCAGGGGTTCTCAACCTTCCTAATGCCGCGACCCTTTAATACAGTTCCTCATGTTGTGGCGACCCCCAATTTCATTGTTACAAATTGAACATAATTAAAGCATAGTGATTAATCACAAAAACAATATGTAATTATATGTGTGTTTTCCGATGGTTTTAGGCGACCCCTGTGAAAGGGTCGCGACCCACAGGTTGAGAACTGCTGCTCTAGTTCCGTAATTATTAAATTGGGATTACATCTACTTCGCAGGATTGCTACAACGATTATATGTTAACATGTAATAAAAATGCAATAAATGTTAGTTATTTTTATTCTTAGGCTAGCTCCGGAGACCTAAGAGGGTTATTCCCAGGCTGGGGCTCCTGCAGACGTGGATTGTGCCAGGACCCGCTGGTTCTCCCCCCGCCCCCCCCCAAACTGGACCCCACCCACCTGCGCAGTCAGCGCGCCCCACGTGCCTCGCGTAAACAAATGAGTGCGCAGGCGCCCCAAGCGGACGTCCATTGGCCGGCGCCCAGGAGCGGGGCGGGGGTTCAGGCCCCAAGGTCTCGGACTGCTCCGTCGGGCCGGTTGGTCGGAGCTGTCTGTGGGCGCCGCCGCCGGCTTCGCCCTCGCGATGGCGTCCTGGCTGCTGCTGCTGTGGTTGCTGGGGCTGCTCCCGGCCGCTGCCCCCGCCCCGTCCCGCCGAGACGCCGGCGCGCAGGCCTGGGAGCCCGCGTCCCCGGAGCTGCTGCGGCGGCCCGCCCGCTTCGCCCTGGACACATACAACCGCGGCCTGGCTGCCGGGGCGCGGGCCGTGCTGGGGACCGTGAGCGGTCGCGTCCGCCGAGTGAGGACGCGGCTGGGGCGGGGACGCGGGGCGCTAGTCCGAGAGATAGGAACTTTGGCCTAAACTTAGGGTGGGGGCACTGGACGGCTGGGCACCTTTGATTGGGATGGGGGAGGAGACGCGGAGGGGCTGTGGGACCCCAGAAGACGGGGCTGCGGTGGGAGTGGCTGTGCCCGCCTCACCCGCCCCAACCACCCCTCCAACCAGGCGGGCCGAGGGTCGCTGTACTCTCTGAAGGTGACGCTGGAGGAGCTGCCCTGCAAGGACCCCATGGTGTGCCAGCTCCCTGTGTCTGAGAAAACCCTGGTGAGTGATGGGGCTCCCCCGTTTCCCTGTGCCAGGCTGAGTCTGGCAGCAGTTGGGGGGGGGGGGGTGTCAAGCCGAAGGGAAGGGATCTGAGGCAACAGCTACTCAGGTCACTTCCCTGGACGCGGGCTGGAGACCAGCTTTAAAAGGTAAGATGTCTCCACCGTGGGGGTGATTGCCTTGGGGGTGATCCTCATCTGGGAGGCCTCCAGCGCCATCTAGCCGAGGGCCCCCAGACTGGCTTTCTCCTCTCCCCCTAGCTCTGCAGCTTTGAAGTCTCCTATGAGCTAGGAAAACACGCGTTGCTGAAGCAGGACTGTGGCCCAGTAGATACCAACATGAAAGGTGCTGGGATTGCCCAAGGATGCTGGGATAGCCTGGGTCAGACTTCATTCAGGGTTTAGCCTTGATTTCTTTGTTCCAATCCCATCCAGATGACAAAAATGAGACTTCCAGTCCACTCCTCCCACTGTCAGACAGGGACCCTCTACCTCAGGTGAGGAGTCCTTCTCTCTCTGGGGAGCTGGCTGCTGCCTTATACCCCCTCTCTTCCTCTCACCCTGGCCTGGGGCTCCCTGGTCAATCTGAGAAGGACTCCTTGTAAAGACCCCTCTGCCTTTCCAGGACTTTTATGTGAGAATGGCTTCGCTCTTCAAGCACTTTATCACCACCTATAACCGGACATATGAGACTGAGGAGGGTGAGGACCCAGCCTGGGGTGTACGAGTCCCAAACAGATCAGGCCTTCCCCCACTTTGGCACCTTGGTGTTGGGAGGGGAAGGCCAGGAGAGGTAGTGCATCCTTTCAAGGACTCCTAAATCCCCACGTTCTTGCCCAGTTTCCCAGGATTGGGAGGCTACCTCAGGGATCTGACTCTCTCCCATCGGATCTTCCTAGTCAGAAACCATGGGCCTCCATCATTCTGGGTCGAGTGGGATGGAGCAAAGGACAGATTTTCTCTGCTGGAGGCCCCTGGGGTGGTGGCCTTTTCCTATGACCTCCTGTCTGGGGGTGCTCTTTGGAGCCCGTTCTGGTTCTGCCTTCACATCTGAGAAGTCATCACCCCAGTTTGGCCCCAAAAGTTTGTCACACCTCTCAATTTTATCACTTGCAGGTCTGCCCCCCCTCCCCCCCCTTACCTACTCCAGGGTTCTGTCCTTCCTGAGCTTACGGGGAAACCTCTGCCAGTTAGCCCCAGGCACTCCTCCTTTATGATCTGCCTGGAGTCCCAGCCCCTCCTCTCCTGCTCCTTGGTCCTCAGAAGCCCAGTGGCGCATGTCTGTCTTTATCAATAACATGATACGAGCGCAGAAGATCCAGGCCCTGGACCGTGGCACAGCTCAGTATGGAGTCACCAAGTTCAGTGACCTCACAGGTAGGG